GGCGTGGGACCTCAGTGCCCTGGCCTCCAGCTATGAGTTCCCCACGGTGCTTCAGGTGACTCATTGCCCCTACCTGGGGGTCAGGGCCCCTTTGGTCCACCGCCCTCCTGGACCCTCAGATCTGCCTGCAACGCATCAACTCCCCCCCCCCCACACAAGCTCTTCCCCTCCAGCATCTTAGTGATGCTACACCTCAGAGCATCTGTCCTCTGCCCCAGGGCAGGACACCCTGTCCTTCCTGAGCCTGGTGCCTGAGGGGTCTCCACAGGTCACTGAGCCCTGAGCCCACCCCGTCTCCCCGCCTCCCCAGGGCCCTGCCCCATCTGGCTCCTGAGAGGCTCCTAGGACTGCAGGTCTCTCCCCAACTGGAAGGGGCTGCAGAGGGAGGGAGGGGGCTGGGCTAGCTGGGAGCCCTGTCTGTGCCCAGCCTCCTGGTGCCCGGGCCCCTCGCCTGCCTGGAGGGATGGGTTCCGGGCCATAGATTCGGAGGAGGCCAGTGCTATCCCCTCAGAGTTGTTTCTCCTCTTTCCAGCCCGTGTCTCCCATGGAAAAGAATCCTGAGCGTCTTTTTCCTGCCGTTGATCTCAGCAGGCTTTGCTCCTCGGGCAACATATCAAGAGAAAAAGAACCTACCTGACGAGGAAGCTGGGCTGCAGCCGCAGGAGAGCAGGTCTGCCTGGGGGGAGGGAAATAGGAACCTTCATGAGCCCCAGTGAGGCACATTTGACTTCTCCGGGAACCTGGATCTGGAGTACGTGCTGTTGCTGCACCTGTGGCCGGGCCTGGGCCCGGGCCTGGGCCTGGGCCTGGGGCAGGAAGGGGCTGACGGGTTGTTTAGGGACCATGGTGGCATCTCAGCTCTGCTTGGAGAGTCTGTTCTCAGGCCCTGGTGCCAGCTCTGCACCGGGACCAGATGCTCTCCAGCTGGGAGCCTACTACTCCCAGTACCCAGGCCTCCCCTGAGCCCAGCCCTCCTCACTGCAGCCCAGAGGAGCCTGGTCCCCTGTCAGCCCTTCTTGCTCTGCAGTGGGGTCCCGCCACCTGTGCTGGGAGCGGGCTGCCCCTGGAAGCAGCAAGGTGGTCGGGTCAGGTTCATGGCGAGGACCCCCCGTCCCCTGTCTGACACCCCTTCCTCATGACCCGGTGGGCTGTGCAGAGGGTCCTGGGCTGGGAGCTGTGAGAACCCAGCAGCAGGGCCTCAGGCCTGTGACCACAGGAGCAGGGTGAGCTGCTCTGCAGGGTGGGAGCTCGGCCTTCCTTCACTCTCCCTGTCTCTGGTTGGGAGGAGGGCAGGCCAGCAGAGGCTCCGGGCAGCTCGGCCGCCTGCGGTGTGTGCTGGCTCATCCCCATTCCCCACTGAGACGTCCTCAGAGTGGCCGCCATTGACCTTGCCAGGGCCTTTGTCTGGCTGGCCGCGGAGGTGGGGCTGTGGGTGATCCTGCGTCCAGGCCCCTACATCTGCAGCGAGATCGACCGTGGCGGCCTGCCCAGGTGAGCGTGCTTTGAGGGGAGGGCTGTGACGGTTTGTTTCACTAAAAGCAGAGCTGGAATCTGACAGCTCAGAGCCCGTGTTCTCGGGGAAGGCCCAGTGAGTTACGAGCGCCACTGTCACCCTTGTCCTGGTCATAGATGCGGGTCCTGGTGCCGTGGGCGCCTGGGTGGGGAGAGGCAGCATCGGGGTGGTCGCAGCTCTTCCTTCCAATCCCATATCTGGTCTCTGTCCTGCGGTGGAAGGGGGTTCTGACAACCTCTGGGCTTGCTCTGCGGGACCCCCCTTCCCCTGGCTTTTCTCTTATTTTGTTAGTGGAAGACCATGCTCTCTACTGAGCCAAGGGACCTCAATCCTCCTCCGTTCTCCCCTCCCTTTCCTTTGCCTTCTCTCCTCTGTGCTGCCAGCCTTTAGTGAAGACAGCTGGGTACAAGGTGAGCACCCGGGCGCATGCTCCCGCTCATGCCACAGCTGCCAGGTGTGTGCAGTCCCCGGCTCAGCTCCAGGGGGCGCCCTCCTCCCGTCGCTCAGTCAAGGCTCTGTTTCCTCAGGGATGAGCGTGTTCTCCCATCCAGCTCAGGAGCTGCAGAGGCCTGACCATGAAGGAAGGGATATTTTAGCAAAGGAGCAATGCCCTGCTCTGCTCAGCTGGAGGCCCCGCCCCACCCCTCCCCGCCGAGAGCCGTGATGGAGCTGCCACACCTCCTAAGCTGGGAACTGTCACCCGACACTTGTCAGTCGGACAGCCCATCAGGTAGGATGGTCCAGAGAGCATCTTCCGGTCCCCTGAGGGCTGCAGATCAGAAGACATAAAGCTGGGCTGAAGGGAGCTCTGCAAAGAGAGCTGGCTGACCTCCCGCCTCCTGCCTTCCCAACTCAAGCGCTGAGCTTGTCTCCTCTCGCCCCCAGCTGGTTACTGCAGGACCCGGAGCTGAGACTGAGGACAGCCGACCAGGGCTTTGTCCAAGCGGTTGATCGATACTTTGATCATCTGATTGCCAGGGTGCTTCCTCTCCAGGTAAAACGGCCTTCTGATATTTCCTCCCTGAAGTGAGAGGCACAGAGACAGCTGGTTCTTTGTAGCCACAGATCAGGCCAGGCCCAGGCTCTGGGAGCCGAAGCTGACACTCTTGCACTCTAGACCCTCATCTAAGTTCACCTTCGACCCAGGGCTTCCGGGAGCACGCACATCACACTCGCCAGGACCCACAGAGCAGAGAGCGTGGGTGTATGATGGCGCTTTGAATGTACTTGATGTTCTCTAGGCTCACTGCTCTTTCTACTGCTTATTTCTACTAAGTGAACTTGGCTGTTTTATTTTTTTTTAATATTTTTATTGATTTTTTTACATAGAGAAAGGGAGAGGGATAGAGAGTTAGAAACATCAATGAGAGAGAAACATCGATCAGCTGCTTCCTGCACACCCCCTACTAGTACATTCAAGTATGAAGAACAATATAGCAACCAATAAGCTATTAAGGAGTAAACATTATAAATACTGTTATGGCAATTTCCCCTCCCCCACATAGTCCCCTCCCCATCGCAGTTAACCATTAGCATCAACCTGGTGTCTATCTCTGCCATGCTGGGTTTTCAAAAGATAATTTTATTATATAACACAGTAGTATTGTGTTATTTTTTTTACATTTATTTTTATTGTAGCAAAATATATATAACATAAAAGTTACCATTTAAACCCTTATAAGTGTACAGCTTAGTGGCCATAAGTACATTCATACTGTTGTGCAACCAGCACTGCCATCCATCTCAGAAATTTTGCATGGTCACACACTATAACTGTACCCATTAAACATCAGCTGGTTTGGCTCAGTGGATAGATCGTCGGCTGTGGACTCAGGGGTCCTAGATTCGATTCCGATCAGGGGCATGTGCAATGGGTTGCAGGCTTAATCCCCAGTGGGGGGCGTGCTGGAGGCAGCCAATCAATGATTCTCTCTCATCATTGATGTTTCTATCACTCTCTCCCTCTCCCTTTCTCTATGAAATTAATAAAAAAACATATTAAAAATAAAAAAGAAATAAGCTGAAACCGGTTTGGCTCAGTGGATAGAGCGTCGGCCTGTGGATTGGAAGGTCCCGGGTTCGATTCCGGTCAAGGGCATGTACATTGGTTTCGGGCACATCCCCCGTGGGGGGTGTGCAGGAGGCAGCTGGTCGATGTTTCCCTCTCATCGACGTTTCTAACTCTTATCCCTCTCCCTTCCTCTCTAAAAAATCAATAAAATATATTTAAAATTAAAAAAAGAAATTTTATTTTAAAAAAAAAATAGCTCCCCATCTCCTTCCCCTCTAGCCCCTGGGACCAGCAGGCCTCTGTTAGGTTGACTCTAGGCATCTCATATCACTGGACTTATACAATATTTGCCCTTTTGTGTCTGGCTTACTTCACTCAGCAAAATGCCCTCAAGGTCCCTCCTTGTTGCAGTACCTGTCAGAATGTCCTCCCTTTTGCAGGCTGTATAATATTCCACTGCATGGATATACCACATTGCTCATCCATTCATCTGTCAGTGGACATGTGAGATGTTTTCATTTTGGCTATTGTGAATAGTGTTGCTAGGAACATAGGTGTGTAACCATCTTTTTGAATCCCTCCTTTCAATTCTTTTGGATGTATACCCAGGGGTAGAACTGCTGAATCACATGGTAATTCTAGGCTTCATTTTTTCTGAGAAACCACTTGGCACTATTTTATTTTATTTATTTATTTTTAAAATTATTTTATTGAGTTTTTACAGAGAGGAAGAGAGAGGGATAGAGAGTTAGAAACATCGATAAGAGCCAAAACCGGTTTGGCTCAGTGGTAGAGCGTCAGTCTGCGGACTGAAGGGTTCCAGGTTCGATTCCGGTCAGGGGCATGTACCTTGGTTGCGGGCACATCCCTGGTAGGGGGTGTGCAAGAGGCAACTGGTCGATGTTTCTCTCTCATCGACGTTTCTAGCTCTCTATCTCTCTCCCTTCCTCTCTGTAAAAAATCAATAAAATATATTAAAAAAAAAAAAAAAAAAAAGAAAGAAACATCGATGAGAGAGAAACATTGATCAGCTGCCTCTTGCACACCCCCAACTGGGGTGTGCTGGCAACCAAGGTACATGCCCTTGATCGGAACTGAACCCGGGACCTTTCAGTGTGCAGGTGGGTTTTGGCCACTTGGCACTATTTTAAATAACTATACACAAACTGTATCTTTCTGGTATCTACTGTTTCTTTTTGTTGTTTGTTTTTTGATATATACTTTTATTGGTTCTGAGAGGAAGGGGGAGGGAGAGTTAGAAACATCAGTGATGAGAAGAATCACTGATAGGCTGCCTCCTCCATGCCCCACACTGGCTATCGAGCCCACAACCCAGGCATGTGCCCGTGGACCAGCAATAGAACTCTGATCTCCTGACTCATAGGTCGATGCTCAACCACTGAGCCACGCCGGCCGGACAGCTACCTAGTGCTTTTAACTGTTATTCCTCCTGGAGCTCCCAGCCGCTCCAACAAGTCAGCTGCAGTTCCGCCCCCGCCATACCAGCTGCTCAGGAGGACAGAGCCCAGCAGCACTGGGCACCATGCGGGACCGTGGTGCCTCCCGCCGTGGCGTGGCAGACCCCTCACCAGTGATAGGGTGGAGCTCCAAGAGAGCAGAGGACACAGTGCTGCTCAGCATCTGGTACTCGGTCACCGCCACGTGCGCGCTCCGGTTGGCCTGCACTTTCACCATCTTCCTGTTGTCCATGCGGTAGCTCGGGGACAGCGTCATCTGAAGCCAAAGAAACCCAGATGTGATTTCGATGGACGAGCAGAAAACCTCACCCCCCCACACCCTCCCAGGGAGGTGGCTCACCCACCTTGTGGTGCTTCTGCCCTTGCACCTCCTTCTCCACGATGGGGATGTCCATGACACCCGCTGAGGGCACGGGGACCCACACAGTGATGGTCCTGGCAGGGGGAAGAAAGGGGAGACACAGAGTGAGGCCACAAGAGTGAGGTATTCCTCAGGTTTGGCTGCTTGGAGGTTTTCACAGCGAAACTGTTGTGGTCCCTTTCTTAGATCAGAGGGTCTCAAACAACTTCTTAGTAGAATGCTTGGCCTGAGAGCTTCATACGATTCTTATGGCCTTAGCTCTTTTACTCCTCTAGTAATGTAAGCTCATTGTAGAATATTTGGGGAGGGGAAACAGAAAAAAAAATTATATCGATAACATGGTCTTTCATTCCAGTCTTTAAAAATGAGTATGGCCCTAACCGGTTTGGCTCAGTGGATAGAATGTCAGCCTGTGGACTGAAGGGTCCCAGTTCAATTCCGGTCAAGGCCATGTACCTTGGTTGCGGGCATATCCCTAGTAGGGAGTGTGCAGGAGGTAAATGATTGATGTTTCTCTCTCATCAATGTTTCTAACTCTTTATCCCTCTCCCTACCTCTCTGTAAAAAAAAAAAAAAAAAAAAAAAAAAAAAATCAATAAAATATATTTTTAAAAAGTAAACTGAGGTAACCTATATGCACTAACATGAAAAGATCTCCAAGACACAGAGTTAGGTGGGTTGTACAATGTGATATACATATGCGCACATATGTGTATGTGTATGTGTATAAAGATACACATACATACCTACTGTATATACTAAATATATATATACATAAATATGTTGACACAGGGCGGGAGGAATAAAAAGCAAACTGCCCCAAGGGAAGGGACAAAAATGTCAGAGTGGATGGATTCTCCAGGAGTTTTATGCTTTATTTCTGTCATTTGATTGTTTGATCACAGAAATCATATATTACTTGCATAAATTTTCAATGGTCTTCACGTATAGCCATTATTAGGAGCGACTCGAATGCCCAAAGCACTAAATCTGCTTCCCACGCCTTTCCAATGGCCACGGGTCCTAGTGCCCTGCCTCCTGGGAACGGGAGTGGCCGCTGTACGAATGCGTGAATAGAAGGAAGGGAAGCTTTCACGCCTACCCCCTCTACCGCTATCGGCGGGCTCCGAACCAGTACTTCTTCATCACCTGCCGGGTTCTGAACAGCTCTTGGACCTGGTGTGCCACCTTCTTGTCCCGAGCCAACACCATGACGCCTGTAGTCTCCTTGTCGAGCCGGTGGCACAGATGCAAGGGCTCTGTCTTGTGGCCATGAAGCACCTTTGCCAGGATAGGCAGGACATCACTGATGCAGAGCTTGACCCCAGGGCCACCTACGATGGAAAAAGACAAGAGGTCTGAGTGGCCAGGAAAAGCCCCACCAAAGAACTCCGCTTGGGAAAGAAAGCTCTCACTGGGTTACCTGTCAACGCTTCCCCGGGCCTTATCCAGGGTCTCCCAACATCCTTATGCCAAGGAGCTTGCTAGAAAGGAACCTCAGGCCCCCAGCCCAGACGATTCATCAAAATTTGTATTTTAACAAGATGTCCAGCCCTAGCTGGTTTGGCTCAGTGGATAGATTGTCAGCCTGAAGAATGAAGGGTCCCAGGTTCAATTCCGGTCAAGGGCACATGCCTGGGTTGTGGGCTCAGTCCCCTATGGGGGCCTGCAGGAGGCAGCCAGTCAATGATTCTCTCTCATCATTGATGTTTCTATGTCTCTCTCCCTCTTTGAAATCAATAAAAAATATATTAAATTTTTTAAATTATTTTGAATGCAAGGCTGCTGAGAGCCCCCCTAAGTGGTGTCTGAGTGTTGCCCCTAATTGTGGCAGAAAGAAGCAGTGGCCTCCCTCCCTCCCTTTCCCACGTGGTCCTTACCATGCACAGGGAGACCATAGGGCTTACTGATGACCACAAGGTCCTTGTCCTGGTGGACAATCCCTCGGCTCAGTGCCTTAGCGAGCACGTTGGGCTGGACTCGTTGCAGCTGCTGCGTGAACCGCACTAGTTCGTGCACTCTCCGCTGGACCGGGTTTTTGAGCTCCTACGGGGAGAGAAAAAGCGATGGGAACATGCCTGATGGGGAAGACTTTCAAGAAGTCTAGGTGAGCACCTGGGCAGGGAGGGCATCACTCTATCTTTGAAGTAGACTCGCGCCTTCCCCCAGCAAACTGAGAGCGGGGATGCTTAGCACCGAGCCCTCAGGACCCAAGGACCAGCCCCACAGGAAGGCACCGCAAGCTGCAGACCTTTCCCTTCGCTTCCTCTCCATTCTCTACCACCGACCAGGACCTTGACTTGCATTCTCCCTGAGGACCCTCGCCCGCCTGGGGACCCAGAGCGCACTGCCTCTTGGGAATTGTAGTCTTTCCCTCCGGACTCACCGGCTCCTTCTTCGCCTTTGTTCCTGTTTCTGGGCTCAGAGCTTCTCCGCTAACTGTTGGGCTTAGAGGCGGCGGCAGCAGCAGCGGCGGTACAAAATGGCTTTGGGACGAGACAGAGGAGATTGCCCACATCCTGCCCGGAACCCCGAACCCGGAGGCGCAGCACGCCCCAGCTGGGCGCCGCCATCTTGCCGAGGAGAGTGGGGCGAGTGACGACCCTTCTCAACTAAGGCAGGCGGGCGGGGGGCGGGGCTGTGCGGGTCACGTGGGGGAAAGGGGGCGGGGCAATCCGGGCAGGGTCACGTGAGCGCGCACGCTGAGCGCTCTTGCGCCGGCCGTTAACCGCAGTTAGAGCGGCCGGCGAGTGGAGAGGACGCGGTGAGTACGCGCTGAAGCTCGGCCGGGGCTGGGGCATGCCGGCTCCTCCGGCGTTACCTCCGCGGTCGCACGATCTTTGTCTCAGAGGGCACGGCCCTGGGAGACCCTGTCTCCCCTGAGGGCGACGGCACTGCCTCAAACCCTGTCCGCCTCCACGCGGAGCGATGCTCCCAGGCGCTCTCCCCGGAGCCGCCTCAGGCGCCGGCTCGTTCGTCCCGGCAGCCGCGTCCGCGGGGCTCCTGGCCGTTGTCCGGGGGGCGCGTCCTGCCCCTCACCGTCCATTTCCGTGCCGCTCGACCCTCGGAGATGCCCGGCCGTGGCTGTCACCTCCCGGCTCACAGCCTCTTAGTCTTACGTAGTGACCTGTTCTCTCCCTGGGGTGATGGGGGGTGGGGGAGCCCTCGCGTTATCCTGGCCCCCCTCCCCCCCATAACCGATTTCCTGCCTAGGGAACCCCTTGAGTTTCTTTTCTGTCCTCCCTCCAGAATGCATTTCTTGCAGCCTCCTCTCCCCCCGACCCCCTTACCCCTTTCCCGGCTCCTTCCCAAGAATAGGCTGAGACCGTCCCCTTCCCCGGTCCCTTCATTTCTTTTTTTTCTTTTTTTTTTTCTTTTTTAACCATTTTATTTTCCCCTTCATTTTTTTTCCCCCTTCCATATTTCGCAACCGCCCCAAACCCTCTGCTCTCCCCGTCTTCCTTTGGGATTCTCGTGCCCACACTGTGAGCGACTTTCTCTGACTTCACTAACGGGGCGGCCGGGGAGATGGACGGCTCGGTGGGGATGGGGGTGTGGGACCCGCCTGCCTGCTGGGTCGGGAGAAAGCGAGTCCTGAGCGAGGGGGGGGGGCCCGCCTCGGTCCCGACGACCGAGGACCGAGGGGCCGCGCGTGACGATGGCTTATTGGAGTGGAGGCCGCCCGAGGAGTTGGGGTGTGGGGTGGTGGGATGGGGTTCGCGCCCCGCCTCCCCTCTCCAGAAGGGATTGGCAGACGGGGAGCCGTAGGTTGAGCTAGAAATCAACCTGAGCAGGTAAGGGGGGCCGGCCAGCCCGTGGACGGCTTGAAAGGGAAGAGTTTGAACGATAAGGAGGGAGGAGTCTGCAGCTTCTGGAGTAGGACGGAGACTCCGTGCAAGGGGAATTGTGGAAAGTAATGAGGACAGAGTGGGAAAAAAAAAAGGAAAAGGGCTTGGGCGGCAGGGAAATCCACGAGGATGCTGCAGACCGGGCGGTCCGTCGTAGAACCCTTTACGTTTCTTCATTCAGCGGCCTCTCTCCCTCCACTGCCCTGTCCTCTTGAGTTTGAGTTGGGGTTGAGTTGTACCAGTCAAGATGCACCATTGGGCCCTAACTGGTTTGGCTCAGTGGATAGAGCGTCGGCCTGCGGACTCAAGGGTCCCAGGTTCGATTCCGGTCAAGGGCATGTGCCTTGGAGGCAGCTGATTGATGTTTCTCTCTCATCAATGTTTCTAACTCTCTATCCCTTTCCCTTCCTCTCTGTAAAAAATCAAATTATGTATATACCATTGGCTGCTGCTGTTGAACTGTGAGTCACTTACGGACTTATTCAGTTTTTTATTCCCACATCTGGCACAAGGGTAACGTTGAAAATTAATTAGATGAAATGCATCATAGACATGTGTGGGGTGTGTCTGAACATTTCTATTTGTCTTCGTTCTGTTATTATTATTTTTTTTTTAAGAATGGAGGTATCTGTAAAGAGTAGGAAAGAAGGTATATGTGTGTTTCTGTAATAAGACAGGGGACTGGGTATAAATGCAAAGAATTACAAGGGAGTTTGGGAAGCAACTTCTCTCTCTCCTTCTGCCCGCCCCTTCCCCTCTGCAAATTCACAAGTACGACATGATCAGTGAAAATTGAGACGTTACACCCTACAAGAATTATTATGTTTTACTGATATGCTTCAGACCCGATTCTGATTTCACTGAAAGGTTGCACAGCACATATTATTTAGGTGCATAACCTCCCCCCAGAGGACTCTGAAATTTTGACATCAGGACTTTAATTCACTTTGGGGATAGGACTTCTATGGTTTTGTGAGGGCTGGGAAAAACTATTTCTACTTTAATTTGTCCTTGATGGCATTCAAGAAATGATATCTGTTCTTGCAGAATTGGCCTTCTGTGGCAGAAAACAAAATGAAGAACCAACTCAGATGTCATTGCTGGTGACACAGAGCTGGTGTTCTTGGGTTTCAGTTTAACCCAAGACAACACTGTAGCACCCAAGAATAAAAACACTGGTCACTTT